ATTGTGATCCGCGACCCTTGTGGAGCTGCCCTTCAATATCTTGACAGAAGAAATCGACAGAATGTCCCCTAAACATTTCCCTCATGTTTTTATATGGGATTCCCATTAAATTAAACATCAGCCCCTTTACTTCTTGCCCCAAAAACAATAATATCTGTGCGGGGAATAAAACGACACTTTGATTGTTTTATTATTCTTAAAATTTTATTTATGGGGCGATGTGTTTTGTGGTCGTAAGAATAGGGTGGATAGTGCGTCATTACTTACGGGTCTCATCTGAGCTGTTCCTTTTTATCTCTATCATTTTTATTAGTATGGATTATAAGAAGCTAAAAAATAACAAACTTATTTATTTTGTAGATGCTACTATATTCTAATGAGGGAAATACCAGGAGAAAGACAATTTTAGCACTTACGACAAGACTAGTGGGATCTGCAGGTGTAGCTCATAAACCTCCTTTAAGGCACACTCCTGGAGGTAAAAGCACACATTAATATATATTAAGTTATTTCAGGCGTTAGCGTAACCTACGTTAGGTACTAAAATATACTTATATACACAATTTTGAATATTTTAGTGAACGCGTCACTAGGTACTGAACGTAGTACATAATGACGGCTACAATGACCTTATACGGATGAGTCTATATTTAAAACTAGCTTCTGCCCGCGACTTCGTACGCGCAATCCCATTTTGCCCCCGTTCCCGTTCATGATTTTCGGTAAAAAGTAAAAAAAAGTTCATTTATATCGATCGAGGCGTTCTTGAATTATAAATAGTGTAACTAACACGATTTTCTTTTATATATATAGATTAGACATCAAAATTAAGAACAAAATAAATGCTTGTCAAATTTAACTCCTACATGCTTTTTGGGACGTCTGCCAATAAGGTGTTTTTACTAAACATAAAATTAAACAAATAATACAAATGTAATAGATAACAACATTTTGCGGTAAGACAAAAGCAATATAAATAGCCAACGTGTGTAACGTGTACAGAAACCAGCAGAGTCCTTATATACGGAGTATTACTAGAGAAACTGTCCACGACGCCGACGCTGACATATTGTTACTATCCTTCTAACAACAGTATTACTTCTACATCTTGGTGAAATACTGAGAAATTTGAACTCAGAGTTCTTATATAAAACGTGTTGAATGAACTATTGAGGGTTTTAAATATTTATTTATATCGATTGTAAAATTCATTTTTAAAGGGGTATCTAAAGTAGGTAGTAATATTTTAGGTAAACTGTAATAATAATCTCATCCATTTAGGATAAAGATGGGTGTAAACACTAAATGGACGCCATTCCAAATCACAAGTTCACTTTTTATCCAAAAACAGAATTTCTTAAAACTATCTGAAACACCTCAATCTTGTCTAACTGAAAGATCAAACTCAAAACGTTGTCCCCAGCAGTCAAGCTTATAACAAAAACACTAATGAAGCACTAGTTAAATGAATTGAAAATAAATAGAACAGAGACGAGCAACACAAAGAGGATAGAACAGTTTTCAGAACAAAGAAAACTTTTGCAGGGCCGGTATTGCGGGATAGAAACGATTTCGCTAATTCCAAACTCGAAGATAGGGGCAATTGATTTATATAATTGTTCAGTTCTGTATAAGAAAATAGAGATAGTCGAGTTAGTTCGTCCGAATTTACTAGACATTGGGTTGTTCAAGAGAATTCGAAATTTCTAGAAGCCGAGATAGGGCTGGGAGTTGGGAATGATTACGGTTTGGTTTTATCGGTGCCTATTGTCAGGCGTTGGTCATAATTTAATCAGAATTGATTGTATTGTGTTCTTAGGTTACAAATAACAGATTGCTTGAGTTCACACTTTGCGGATACTCAGCGATCACATTAGTATCCATGTCAACCAACCCGACAATATAAAGTTTCGTCTTTCATTATCCAAAAATGTGTATGACTCAAATATTTTGCATGATATCAATCATTATATATTACATTAGCCACACGAAAATCACCCTTATCTACAAACTGTTATACAGAAATCACACATAGTTCTGCAATACCAATTTACAACATAACATTTAGACAAGAAACAGGTCCAATACAGAGCAAATTTCCTTAGACAGCGTACGTTTACTATGCAACGAGCCATGTCAAACTATGTTCCCAATGCAACGCCTATGGTCTGGTTGTAACAGGCAATTAATTGCATCTGTGTAACGTCTGATTGACGAGGTGACTTTAACTTGAGGAGACAGACTAGTAACAGGAGTTTGAGGTCCTAGTTGGCGAGTAGGTATGGTAAGGGTATATTTATCTTAAACATCTATAAGTTTTGTTTTTGTCTATAAGTACTGACAACTACAAGACATTATTTAGAAAGATGACTGTTCTCTGACTGCTAATATGACAAATATACAAATTTCGTAGTATCAAAATGTTTCGGAAGAATATACCAAAAACAGTTTTACACGATTATAAATATAACTAAACTTGTCCACTCACTAAAACATAAACGGGCTTTTAAAAATCACTACAAATTCAGGCCTTTCAATTATGTTACAGATTGTAAATTGACATTTAATTATATAATATTTATAAGGTCGGTTTCTAAGCCGACTCAAGGCAGACGAATATCAATATTTTACTGGGATAGACTGCCATCTGACCTCTACAATCCAATTAGCTCCGAACTGGCAGACATCCTACTATCCTAAGGCTAAATAGACGCCTAAAGCGAAAGCCCATCTAATTAATTTCGGAACATATATTTGTTCTGAACATCGGATGCAGTCTGGGTTTGTCAAAGGCTGCTGATAAAAATAGATTGTAAATGCCAGCCATGTTTAAAAAATAATTTACTTATGTAAAGATATGGTAATGTCTTCTTATGCATTGCAAGAGTAACTTGAGTAAAACTGGAAGGTGACTCTCAAATCCAGAAATTACACTGGTATTATAAACGTGAACAAGAAACCTTTGTTTGGATGTTTGTTCGTCAATCACGCTGAAACTACTGAACGGATTTTGATGGAATTTGGTAGACAGGCAGAGCATGGGCTAACTTAGGTAATAAGATATACTTTCTATCTCGATTAAATGCTCCTACGGGTTAAAACAGGAATCATATTCTAAGCGGACAAAGTCCCGGGCAAACAAAAATTAAAAAAGACTTTTATTTCAAAGGTGAACAAAACTAAAATAACACAAAATAGCTGTACAATTCCACAGTAAACTAAAATTAACTTCATAAGTAAGCAATATATTACCCGTATTTTTACGTAAAAATAAATAGAAATACAAGTTTAAACTATAAAATACTATTAAAGGAGTTACGAAGCTGACAGCTTGATGCAGCAGAGAAAGTTTCCATTAAAAGCAAAGCCTTGCATTTGTTACAAAAAATATTATTATTCTTTGTGGAATCGCTTGGAACAGAACTAGAGAATTTATTAAAATAGTTCCTTTTAATGCTACAAAGTAAATTGATGAGCATCTTAAATGTACCGTTATTGCTACAGTGGAATATTGCAATTTTATTATTTTTCTCATGGTTTAACCACCAGGTTATACCATAAAATAATCGAGTGGACGGATCACGGTAGACAATCGGCGTCGCCCATGGACACCTGGAACACTAGAGGCGTTACAAGTGCATTACCGGCCTTTTGGGGATTAGGAGTTTGAGGATTGTAGGGGATTCAGGGATTGGGGAGATTCAGGAAGGGGGGCGGGTTAGATAATTGAGCCCATTATTTTATTTTATCCATACATCTACATACATCTACCTCTATCTACCTACATATTTCATGTCAAAATATACATATTTAAAAAATCCTTCAATATTTCGTTCATTCTTCAAGGCCTTCATACTTTTCACTTGAAATAATTTTATCTATACGGTGTGTTGTCTATTAGGTTTAAGATAAACGTGAATAAAAAACGACAGTTCATGTTTCACTTTTATAAATGTACCCTAAGGTACTCGCATCTGTCTACCACAATATGGGAACAAGCACTGAACGCCAACCAATCGCCGACTAATCAATTTGTTTCCCGAACTTAACTAACGACCAATCAAATGTAGTGCAGCTGCAAACAACCGATAGATCCCACAAAACAATTTGCTTCAAAAAACCAAAACGAAGGTTATCTCGTCAACAATCAACTGCGGTAACTATAAATTGATATGGAAAATACAACAGAAGGTTCACTTTGAAATGGAGAACTAGAGTATGTTACTTGTTTACCCGAAGTGAGAAAATATGAGTAACTGCGTTATGTTAGACACGACTGGCAAGAAAAGAGTCATGCCTTTATTTAATATTTAATAAAGTGTGGGAGAGCCATGCTTCGGCACGAATGAGCCGGCTCGACTGGAGTGATACCACGGCCTCACAGAAAACCGACGTGAAGCAACGCTTGCGTTGTGTTTCGTCGTGTGAGTGAGGTTACCGGAGGCCCAATTACCCTCCCCTTCCCCAATTTCCCCAATTCCTGAATCCCCAATAATCCTCAAACTTCTAATCCCCAAAAGGCCGGTAACGCACTTGTAATGCCTCTACATGGTGTTCCAGGTGTCAATGGGCGACGCCGATTGCTTACGATACATCAGGTGATCCGTCTGCTCGTTTACCGGCTTATGCCATAAAAAAAAATGATGGCGTAATGATAGTGTTTTGTTTGTAATTATTGCCCTTTGTTTATTGCGTACCTATGCTACATTATTATTAATTTTTGTAACACAAAATAATTCCTATGTTAAATAAATGACATATTTTTTACAATTACCAGTAGCAAAATATATGTCTATTGTCTTATTACCAAATTTTAGTAGATAATGGAAATGTGTGATATAAAAATGTAATACGTGTAAATTTTATTTTGTAGAAAGATTATTTGAAGAGCTTACTAATGATTTTGTTTACATGTTCAGCACTGCCTATTGTAAGACTAAATTGTTTTATACTATCGTTTCGTTTATAGTACATGCCAGAATATCGATACCAATACATACCCAATAAACACTTCAAGTTAAAATCCACACTATCTGTAAGCAAAAAGAAAATATTTATTAGTATGATGAGTTTTGATATGTATTTTTATAAATGACATTAAAAAAAGCGAATATACAACTTGTAAACAAAAAAAACTTCGCATGAACAGTGAACGTTGAAAATGATCGACTGACTAAAACATACATGATTTCATTGGTCGTTAGACTGTAATAAAATCAGGTAAAACTCAGCAAATAGCACTATTAGCTGGCGTGCCGATTTATTTACAGTTGTTAACTATAAAACACACAGTGTAATTAAACTCAAACACCCAGCTAATGCAATGCCAACGCTATAATTCCTTCGAGAACGCACAGGCTCTATAAAAGAATTTATTTTTTACTGTGGACGTTTCTCCCATCCGCAAAAGGTTATCAGGGTTCGACCCAACTTAGACTACGTATTCGATCTTATGTAAAATATTCGGATTTGCCTACGTAGGAAGACAAATTGCTACTTAATTTTGGATTTGAATTTTTTTCGTGGTCTTATCTTTGTTAGGCGCTAGTTTATTTTTCGTTTGTAGAGGTCAATGTTTTAATAATAATAGTAGATAGATTATCCTAATGATAGAATTTATTCGGATTATTACTAACTTATACATTGAAAATAATATATAAGAATGGTCAAAAAGTTCTTAAAATGCCAACCAAAAATGGCAGCCACAAAATATTCATTGGCTTGGCTAGTTTGTTTGACTTCAATAATTTTAACACAAAAACTATGTGTTTCTGAAAAACTTGCAGTCGGAATGGCTCTCTAAAAACTATCTGGCTGAAAATATAGACTCAAGCTCAAGTCATCTATATGACCACAGAACTAATGAGGCAAAGAATAATTTCGTTTTCTAAGAGCCATCTCCGTGTGATCTCAATTTATCTACACTTCGGCATTCAGTGCGCGGGCTCAGATCCCCTCAGTCCGGAAAGGAATTTTTATTATCAATATCATGGTGTTGAACTATGGCCATGTTTATGTGCTCGTATTATTTATAGTTTTCGCTATTTGTGGGGCCCTTCGTGTTTATTTATAATGTTTGTTGTTCCCAGTAAATTGGATTACGGCTTCGGGTTTCCTTTCGTCTTGTTTTATGGTGTGATCAACGGTGTTTCCAGATTTGTGAGATAGAAATAAAGTGGGAAATAAATGTTTCATTTTATTTCGGATTGAAGCGATTTGTGGAGGGTAAGTAAAATGGGCGGCGGGCCCAGATACACTGGAGATTGAAAGCGGCTCATAAAACATAGTCTAAAAAAGGTAGATTGGTGAGGAGGTTCCGTCGAATGGCTGAAACTGTTTTAGCCTCTTTGGAGAAAGTAACGTTCCGTTTAAGCGTAGTTTAGTTATATTATAGTCTGCCTTCCGCAGAGCTTGTACTTTCTTGTAATAACCTATATTTATATTTCCTTTTACGGAAACACTCCTATAATATCATCTCCTATTCCTATCTAGTTTGTGCATCTTTCTAAGAATATTATAAGTTAAAGTGCCATGTTGTATTCCACATCTTGCATGCTTCAGCAGTAGTATTTCAAAACTTCTTTTATCTAAGAATTCTAGTACATTTTTCTCGACCCAGATTACTAGAGCATATTAAATTCCTATGTACAGACAATTGAAAATAGTTGTGAAGATATATTTGAATTCTAAGTAATACGATTTACTAAAGTTAAAAATCGTGCAAAATAGGAATATTTATCATTTACCTAATATATTCTGATTTAGAAAAAGAAACAAGATACTTATTGGTATTTTTCAGATATTAATAACTTAGTTCAATGGAGCCTTGATCTTGCCAAATAATAAATATTTTTTTAAGGGGGAAAATCATCGAATGACTGCTCTCGCCTGGGTGAGGCGGGAGGGAGTGTCATATAGATTCTATTAAACTTCTTTCAGAGAATTACACGTCAGAACCCCTAAAAAGAGCAATAAAACACACTATCAACCTCAAAGCATTTAAGTCACCACATAAGAAGAATTTCAACTTCATAAACGTCGCCAAAGAGGAACAAACAGTTATAAAGCACGGAACCCCATCAAACATTTTACAAGCACCAATAAAAACAATGATGTGGAACAATGGGAACTGTTAGTTTTATCGCCAAACGTATATTATGCAATAATTCAAGCGGAGAATGCAAGTGTTGAGAAAGTTCTCTGAACAGCTACCGCTGTTCCAGTAGTTTCCAACTTGTACGTTTGGCTGACTTGCGAGAGCTGGCCTCGACGAAATTCACAGAAAATGAAGTAATTTAAAAGTTCCCCAGTGGTATTAAGTTTTGCATCATTGGCGCTTGTCGAACCGCAAGGATAAGCATTTTATTTTTGATAAATCGACGGAAAGTTTTGCCAAATAATCTTAAAAAAAAAAATTTGAACAAACATTCTCAAACAAAATGTAGGTTAAAAATGTAAATTCACTGAAGAAAAGTGAAAAATAATCTTAATTGTACATTATTTGGACAGAAAAAAATTCTTTGCACAAAGAACGTTCTGCATTCAAAGCATGCTGCAATTTTATTCACAAATGACTCTTTAAGTGTTAAGGTAGGCGTTAAAACAACCCGTTTCAGAAGATAATACTTTTCACACAGGTTTAAATTTCTGTTCCTTCCCCAAAACAAATTCGTATGCAGAATCCTATGCCATCCCATTATGGGGTATTATAATTCTTGCCTTTGTGTTTGATAAAGCATCAGAATGACGGCTTTGTTTTGTTGAAGAGTAGACAGTAGAGTTGTTTTACACCCATAGCATGTAGCTTGTACACACATCATATCGATTGCCAGGCTAATCCCATATATATGGATAAACAAGTGCTTTGTAATAAATCTAAAGTTAGAAACTTATCCTGAAGTCATTTCATCGATTTCTTCTAACACCAGCTGGCAGTTTAAAGTTCCACAAATTAAAAAGGATTATATCTTCATCTCTCGATTTTTTATTTATTCGATCTTTTATTTTATCAACAGTCCATGATTAGTTTGACAAAGTGATTATAGGAAATAGCTTCTATAAGTATCTATGACACACAATATAGGAGAAAATTTACTCCGATAGCCGTATCGAGCCATTTCTCGTGACTTATAACATCTTCAGGACTACGAACAGGAATTTATGCATGTCAAAGTTATTCATGCCACCATCTTCAAACTTTGACCGTCTTCAGGTAAAATGGATCCGATGAAATTTCAATTATGACAAGGAAATGTTGAACGGAGAAAAATCCACCCAGGTAGCCGTTAAAACCCAGTATAATTGATTTAAGAGCTCCTTTGGAGTTCTTTACAAATTAGTCGCCAGGGAAATTAATAAAAAGCATTTATCTGACAAATTGCTCGTATTTACATTATTGCTTAAAAACTCGAGCCATATTTTGTTCCACGACAACATTTTTTCCATTAGATATAGTAAGAAGCTCCAGTGTCTTTATTAATGAGTTACTATCTCCTAGACTACTAAGCTATTTCTCTCATCTACTTGATAAAATCTTGTATATGCAATAAATAATCGTCCACAAAGAATACGTTGTAATAATTTGCGTAGTTTATTTCCACGAAGAGGCACAGCTGAGACAATATCTCGGCAGAACTGGACCAAATAAATAGGAACAAAAAAGAACGGTCCACCCCAAAATATATTACCCAATCTCAATTTTAGTAAGACTATTTTATTTCTAGCGTTTTGTTTCATGTTAAATGCGAGAAAGAATGTTCCCAAGTTACCAACATTTTTCCTTTACATTCTGGCTATGGGCCAAGTTCCACCTTTTCACTGGAGTTCCTACTTAGCCAGATTTGTGAAAACTGATACTGACGTTCAAAACTCGAGGCTGCACATAAAACTTCATTGAGGTTGAATTTTTTGTAACCCCGTTCTGTTGTATTTTAACTTTGATTTGCAATCATTTTACAAATAGAAAATATCTACATTATATTCACTCTTTTACAAATTGTAGGCCTCTTATGCTCGAATACTGAAAGACTACTCAATTTTAATATGTAATATCATGCCATTTCTTGCTTATTTACCTTATCAGGAAGATTTAAAACTTTTCATAAGAAAAATCCTCATCATTTTACTTCCAAAAATATTCAATTTTCACACGTCTCTCTATATTTATAAGTGCGTAAATTTAATAACGCTTCCCTGTACACTCATAATTTTTCTATAGTTGACTTATACAATTTCGCCAGACGATCCGGTTTTTCTGGCATCCTAAAGTAACAACCTTTTGGGCCCTAAGTTATTCCAACCCGCTTTTCACGTAAGCACCCCGCCGAGGCCTTTGATATACGGGTCTGTTCTCGCAGATATTTGATTATCTTACCTGAGGAGGACAACGATTTTTTCATGGTTATGAAGAAAATTTTGGGAGGATTTTTTTTTTCATTTTATACAACGACCGATGCCGCCGGTTTTAATGTGATGGATTTATTTCGTTTAAATACTTTTCGGGTCTTATTATGGTAATGTATCTTGGTGAGAAAGGAAGATTTGTGGGACATTTTGATTAAGTGCCAAAATTTAATATTTTGTTAAGTGACTACCCGACTCCTTTACATAATTGGTGACTAGACTCACTACTCGTATCAAGATTTTCTCCACTCCGTATCATTGTACGCAACACAAAAGACCCACGTAGATCCCTATATATTTCATTTCGAGTTCAGATTATCTAATCAGTATATCTAATATCTTCCTTGAGAACGTTCTAACCCGGAATTACGGAATCCTTTGACTATAATTGAGTCTGTACGGATATAACATGTACTTGTACACTCGACGACGGAATCCACTTTACACATCACTTCCAAGTTTTATTTAGATATTGTACTAAAAATTAATAATTTAGCTTTAATAGTAAAGTTTTTCAAAGAATGAGGGGTAAAGGATCGCTTAATGGTAAGTAATCAGTAAGTAAGTGTACGGGGCAACCTCAGAGTTAGTGAAGAAAATATTTTTGGTCATTGTATTTGTAGTCATCTCT